ATACATATTTGATTTTTTTTCTATATTTAAAGTTTAATTTTACAATTTTAAATAATAATATTATTCATACATATGTTTGTCTATGTTTTTGTAACTCTATGACTTTTTCCATATTTGTTTTTAACTTCTTTTTTTAGTAACTTGTTTAGAAAACTTTTTAACAATTTACAAACTTAGCCCATTACTTTGTGTTTTCATTTGAATCAATTTTGTGCTATCACATGTTGATTACTTTTTATAATTTGTTTGTTTATACGCCATATTTCACAGACTTCCAACGTAAACTGATTTGCATCTCAGCAGGAAATAAAAATTCCTTTGGATACATTTGCGTTGTTTTAACCAATTAACTTTTCAAACAAAGAATTAACGAACTAATGAATTAATAATATAAATGAATGAATGAATATTCAAATGAGTTAATAAAGAAATTGACGATAAATTGAAAAACTAATTGGTTAGTTAATTAATTGAATGATTGATCGATTGATTGGTCGATCAAAACGAACGGGTTGATATGTACTTAAGTAAATCATCGTGACCTGACTTCGACTTAATAGCTCACATAACTAGAATCAATAAAACGGCCTTCGCTCACTTTTAACGATCGAACAAGGAGCTTACTTCTGGAGCAGATTTGGAGGGTGGAGTCAAAAGTTACAATCATATATTTACTAATTTCGGAATATGGCTTTTATTTAAAATGTTAAAATTTTAATTTTTAATTGTTTTTCAATGTGGTAATTAATTTTTTTTTATTTGGTATAAATTTGAAAAAAATAAAATCGACATTACTGAAAATAATTGAAAGTTGAAAAAATTGAGATTATATTTCCAGCTGAGTTATATATGGTAGATATATGGAAGATAATGCTATATCTATTATTCTTGCTTTGAAAATTGAGTTGAATCTTGAAAGATGTTGAGTATGGCTGTTTGTATATTAATATTGCTGGTGAAGTAGTGTTATATTGCCCGCTCTTCACCATGCTCCGACATTTGCCGAAAGAACAACCTAGTTTGTTCTTGGGGATATTCTTTCAGTTTCTGTGAACTCTGTCGGCTCAACGTTAAATAACTCAAAATTGATCATGTACATAAAATAATGGAAGGTGACTTTTATTGACGACTTACGTGTGTTGAGTATTAACGACTTACGTGTGTTGAGTATTAGTGTTTAAAATTGGGTAAAGTTTAATAATTAAAATCAAACGAGAAACAACTAGAAAAGGAATAAATTTAAAAAACTGAAAAGAATATATAACCAAGCACAAATCAGAAAATCAAAGCCAAATTAATAAAAACCAAACAATACAAAAGAAAATTTGAATGAAAGCAAAAATTCATTTGATTTTACTGGTGATGGTGCTTCCGTGGTGATGTGAAACATACTAGGGATATTAATTTTAAATCAAATAAAAAACCTATCAGAGGTAAAATATGGCTTGGAGTGTTTAACACGAGTTAAGAAGTGAGAACAAGGTGACGATCGTAAACCGTGGCGTTTAGTTTCAATTAATATATCTGATAAGTACTTGGGAAAGAATTTAAATTGAGACTTATACATAAATGTTCAAATTTTAAAAATTATTCTATATTCTATAGGTAGCCAGTGCAAGAGAACAAAATAGAGAGATATATGAGAAAAGAAAGGGGCACGAGCAACTAGATGAGCAGCAGAGTTAAAAGTTTTACTTAAAGGATAGAGTGTAGAATCAGGAAGACCATAATAGAGTGAGTTACAATAATCTGTAGGGATCAAACATTCATTTGTTAACTATCTCATATATTATTATAAAAGATTATTGCAATTTTCAATGTTACCTAATCTATATCAATTTTTATGTCTCCCCTTTTAACTGAGAGCTTGTAAAACGAAACGGTTCGAGATTCACGTGGGAATAAAGATAATATTTTATTACACCTGAATTGTGTTTGTTTTATTTATTTTAACTCACAACAAGGTGTCTTGTTAGTAGCATAAATTCGTACTAACAAATTGGTGACCCCGACGTGATCTGAACAAAAATCCCACGTGATTTGAACGAAAATCCGACGTGATCTGAACGAAAATCCTACGTGATTTTGAACGAAAATCCGACGTAAAAAGAAATACGAAGATCCACGTGGTAAGATCAAAACAAAAACAAAATGTTCCAACCAAATGATGACCCGATCGCCATATTACCTCTTTTCAAGAAAACAGCGTCAACAGATTGGTTCGAGAATTCCGAAATGCAATTTCAATTCCGAAACGTGATGTATAAAACAACAAGATTCTATCACGTAATAATTTCCCTGCCGTTGGATATAGTCTCAAATTTGTCATTAAAAGTGCAAAGAGGAACAGATTACGACGCTCTAAAAGCAGAGTTATTATCAACGTTCAAACTAACAAAACCAGAGCAATTCCAAGAAAAAGAACCTTTTAAAATAAATTTGAATCTGATGAATGTAAACAAAATTGAAGAGAGGCAGCCATCAGAAGAGCCCAATAAAATAAAAGTTGTCCTGAGTAAGAACGAAGATAAAAATGACATCCAACAATCACAACAGCAAAATGCTGAGCAAAATGCTACCATCCCATCAGCAAATTCACACATAAACGATTCTCTTCTTCCAGTTCTTTCTCTTCCTTCTTCTGTTCAACAGCAGCAGCAGCAAGATCATCACAGAAAGAGAAAAGCAGAGCATAGTTCATCGTCCTCACATACATTTCATTCTAGAAATCGTTTGCAGCTGGACAGAAGGTTGCATGAGAGGCCAGAACAAAATTTGAACCAGCAACCAAAACAGCAACCGCGTTTTCAGCAACAACGCCATCATCAACATCTCATGAAACAAGATAAATGTCAAACAAATTATCAGCGTCAAAAGCAATATCATTACGAGAAACAAGTTAAACGCCAGCGATATCAGTACCAACAACCACATCTTCAAAGAAGAGTGGAAAAATCAAATTCAACTCAAAAAACAAACATTTTTCCATTTGAATGGCTCCGCCTTTTGCGGGGGAATATTGTGAAAATGAAATATCTCCAGCAATAGCAGTAACAGGAACCAACTTATTATTACCAAGTCGATTTTTATTCCCAGATTCAAATGAAGATATAACATTTAGTCAAATCAAACAACTAGCAAAAGAAATGTTCAAACTTAATGCCTACCTAACAAATAACAATCAACATCACTCTACACCAAAAGCTTTCGTACCAAATGACCTTTCAAACAGTAGTCACGTATGGTTAAGAGTAGATCGAGTACGTCGTCCACTGGAAGCACCATATACAGGCCCTTTCAAAGTGATTGAACGTAACGAAAAATACTTTAAAATTGAATTGTTACCAGAAAATTTTCAAAATGTGTCAATTGATCGATTAAAGCCAGCTTGTTTATCATTACCTCCAACAACCAAAACCAAAATAAACAACGAGAACGAACAACAAACTTTCTACAACAGAAACAACAACATCAGGCGCAACAACAACACAAGAAACAAGACCGACGTCAACCACATCCGAACCAACAACCAAACACTCCAGAAAAGGGAGGCGAATAACATTCAACAAACGAAATGAATATTTTTATTTTTAAACGGCTCCGCCTTTTGTGGGGGAGTATTGTAGAGATCAAACATTCATTTATTAACTATCTCATATATTATTATTAAAGATTATTGCAATTTTCAATGTTACCTAATCTATATTAATTTTTATGTCTTTGCTTCTCTCTCGATTTCTCCCCTTTTTCCTGAGAGCATGTAAAACGAAACGGTTCGAGATTCACGTGGGAATAAAGATAATATTTTATTACGCCTGAATTGTGTTTGTTTTATTTATTTTAACTCACAACAAGGTGTCTTGTTAGTAGCATAAGTTAGTACTAACAAATCAATCCTAAATAAAACTAAAAAAGTAACAAGAAGGAGAAAAATATGATCGTCAAAAAAAGTTAAAAGTTGTTTATACTATGGAGATGAAAGTAAAAACTTCTAAAAACACTATTAATCTGAGACGAAAGGGACTTTGCCAGAATCAAAGATATAGCATAGATTACAAAACTTGTGAGAAACATCAAGAGTTTCAAATCAGGTAAGATAAAATAAAGTATATTAATAGACCTTTAGATTAGTAATAGAGCGTTTAGATTGTTAATGGAAACCAGGAATAGGTTACAAGATTTAATTTGGGACTTAAATGATATCTATTGCAGCTTTTGTGGTGTTGTGACATTCTTAGCCACTTAGTTCGGAACATTTTCACATCATCGTGTGGTTCAGTTTTGCATGTCAAAAGTTGTTCATTGGTCGTATTTTCCAAACATTCATGACCATGCTCGAATTTTCCAATATTTGTTTGCAACGGAAAAAAAATTATTAAAGCTTTTGTCAAATGTTAATTCTTCAGTCACCTTGTTTTGAACACTCTTCATATCATCTTGAAGTTCAATTTTGCATGTCAAACGTTTCTCATTTTTTATATCTTTCGAACATTCATGGCCAAGCTCGCATTTTTCATTTGTAACGGATAAGATGTGCTGAAGTCTTTGTCAATTTTTTTCAGTTTGGCTGCTTTGCATTCTCCATAGGTTTCAATATTATTATATGATTTAAGTTGAAATTGACGCTTATTTAGTTTTTTATTATCTTGCACGTTTGAAACCTGAGCAGCTGATTGAAAATTTTTCCAAATTTTTTCAGAAGGAATACTTAGTGTTTTATTATCCCGCACATTTAAGACATGTGCAGATGGTTTGAAATTTCTAATATCAATTTCTATTATTTTTTCAGAAGGAATTCGACATACATTATCTTGCATATTTGATACCTTCTTATTCTTAGGTTTATTTGCGCATCCCGCTGAAATCTTCGTATTATCATCAGAAGCACAAGAATAATTTTTTAAAGTTGTTGACTTTTCATGGAAGCTATTGAATACAGATTCACTGATGGATGCTTTTAACCGACCATAAACGGATTGGGATTTATTTTCCTGATTATTTTTTCGATTTGGTCGAAACTTATAATCTGGATTCTGTTGTTTGTGTTGTTGTTTTTCTAATTCGGCTAATTTAAAATAACGATCTTTTACATCTTGTGGTTCATTTTTCCATTTCTTACCCAGTTCAGCGTTCATTTCTAATATATTTGCGAAAGTCTTACAATACTGGACTGATTCGTCTTTCCTGTAGAGCATGAAGGCGTTCATAGGTCTTTTGATCTTCGGAGTCTTAAATGCGTTGGACGTCATCTGGTTTAAATTTTTACATGTTTTATTCTTTTCATCGGTGCGCAAATCCAGATCATTCGTAGGGTCATTAGCACCTGTAGTAAAACTTCTAGAACGTTTTGAAAGGTCAATAGGAATGTTCTGTTCAGAAAAACAGCACGACGATATCTGGTTTAGACTTTCAAAATTCTTTTTTTCTTCTTTGGTGGGCAAATTCAGAACATCTGTAGTTTGATTAATACCTGTAGTAAGACTTTCAGAACGTTTTGAAAGATCAATTGGAATTATCTGTTCTGAAAAACAGTGAGACATTATCTGATTTAGACTTTCAAAATTTTTTTTCTCTTCATTGGTGCACAAACTCTGAACCTCTGTTGGTTCATTAGCATCTGCAGTAAGACTTCTAGCACGTTTTGAAAGATCAATAGGAAAGTTCTGTTCTGAAGAAAAGTCGTTCCAAACATTTTCTTCTGTCATAATTAATCCTTAAAAAAATTATTAAACAATTAAATGATGGTTTTATCCAACAGAAGAATAGCAAATTATTTAAATAATGATACGTTACCAATTGGCATCTATGCAATTATTTTGCAATTGAAACATTCAAACTGCAGATTCTATTTATTATCACTTATTTGTAAATCAATTTAATTAAAAATATTGTAAGATTTCAAATTGTTTAAAATTGGCTAAAAATTCACTTACTTAATAGTAGCAATTTTTTTGTTTTTCAGTTTTTAAGAGTTTCTTGAGTTCAGAACAGTCAGAATGAAAATAAATAAATAATTTTCCTAAAATGGGAAAATAAAAGAAGTTGGAATAAATAAATATATATTTCATATTAATGAATTTAGTTTAAAAAAAAATACAACCAAAAATCGGAATAAAATTTACAAAATTTAATAGTATATTATAGTAATAGTACAAAATTTATTACATTTTTTTGACCATCCAGTTGTAAAACTAAAAAATTTGTAAACAGCGCGTTATTCAAGTTTTAATAATTAAGCACATTTGTTTGCAAATTTTTAACGTTTATTTCAATCAAAATGAAAATGTTTCCTACTTTAAAAGATATCGAAGCAACACTTTAAAATCATTCAAAAATTGTTCGAAGAACTTTAGAACAGTAGAAAAACAAGCAACCATTATTGGAAAATTAAATTTGTGTGAAGTTAACAAATGCAAATTAATTAATTTCAGTCAATAAAATTTTTAAAAATTTTAAATATTCCTTAATTTTATCTTTTGAATATAAAAACTTTTAATGCGGCTTAATTCTGCTTCATAGATAGAATGTAGAAAAAGAATTATATGTACAATAATATTGATAAGACCAATTATAAATATTATTTAACCTACTTACGTCAGTTTAACATTTATTCAAAAGCAACTTATAAAATTTTTCAAAATAAAATATACTTTGAGCTTTTAGTACGTGATTACCTGGTTCGACTAATGTCTTTTCAAAACTCAGACACTATCATATGTTCGTAATGTTGGGATTATGGTGCGGATAATTATAAAATAAATAAGCAGTTTTGCGTATGTATAAAGTGCGAAATAAAAATTAATTTATTTAAAAAGAGTAAAATGACAACGCAAACATTTTAAATTCAATAAAAATAAAATATATGCTTTAAAAACTAACAATACGAAACAAATACAATCAAACTAGGCTTGCATTTTAAAAAAAATTAATTACAAACAATCAAATGAAAAACATAAAAATAAGGAACAACAACAATGTTAAACTTACTTGACACTTCTGATATCAAATGATGATGACGATGATGATGATCTTCAGGAAGATAGAGTCGCCAACAAAACAATATTCCAAAACAGACTTATTAGAGCCTTTGTAAAAGCAGTGTCAAAGATGTATATATACTATAGAGCCGTCTTTACAATCTCGATACAAAGTAAACAAAGAACAAAAAAAATTTACAACCAGTGTTAGTAAAATTTAATTTCTGTCGTGAAATTCTAAAAGATCATATTTAATATAACTTACCAATTACAAAAAATAATGAAGTGTCAAAAAAAATTAGACATTTAATTTGCCTTCCTGCTTTGTAAACTAGATTTACCGTAGACCTAAGACTAACTTGAACAATTAATGAATCTATCTGTGTTTATAAAGTTATTTCATTTTTTATTTATGATCAATTTATTTTCATTAAAATTATTTTATCTTTGATGTCAGAATATTTTAAACTTCTTCTTGACCATATCCAATTTTATCATAATTAATCTCTCAAAAAAATTCTTAATTAAATAATTATCAAATTTTATTTTTACTTGATCAGGAATTGCTATTTGATTTTTATTTTGTTACGTGCATTAAAAAACTGATCTCAAAACTACCTCAAAAATGTGATGGCGACATGGAAGATACAATAATTTTTTCTCCATCAATTGCACTAATAAAACGCAAGCACCTTTAATGCGGCCAGTATTCACGGCAGTTGTGTCAAAGGACATTGCTTGAATCTTGTCAAGTGCACCCCACTTTCCAAGTTCTGAATGAACAGATTTTGCAATTGTACTGCCAGCACCATTTTCTAATTGGGGAACTCCAATTAACTGTTCTTCTTCTCCACAGCTAATTAAGACTGCAACTCTTTCAACATTTTCTTTATTTAACATATCTGGAAGTAATTTCCCATCCCAATGTATAACTGCTCCTTACCAAAAATGAGAAATTGTAGAAAAACCGAAAGATCTTAATATTAATGCATAAAAACAACATAGAGCACCCGGGTTAGTAATAGTAAATAATTTATTGTGTGTTTTTGTGTTATGGAGAAATTCAACGTTTTTTCAATGTGTATCTGTAACAATGCAAATATGTCAGAAACTATAATTTGTAGCTAAATAGTGATCATTGTAACATTTGAAGAAAACTAATCAATGAACAAAATAAAATCATGTTTCTAGAATGAACCGTTTTTATTTTACAAACCAAAAACTGCGAAATTTTAACCTCGATGAGGCACGGGTTAGCATTATCCAATTGAGCTAAAACTTTACAAATGTCATTTTTTAGTCAAGTGGCACAATTTAGGGGGTTCCCCCGATAAGATTTTGAAAAAAAATTTCTTGTGACCACCCTAATGTACAGTGTGACTTTTACTGTGACATGCTTTTTTGTTCGTTCAATTCGTTTCAATGCGTTTGGTTATAGAACGTTATATTTATTTTACGTAATAAATTAGTGTACGTACATTACGCTTATTGTTTTCTATTTAGTTTGTTTTCAACTCTACAAAACAGCAAAACACAACATTAAGTATGCAGCTTGAATACAGAATCTGTCTTTATCAACTGTTTACTACGCAGATAAATACGTGATCAGCGAGTTCTATTTTCATTTTGCTTTTTTTTATTTGAACGACAACCTCGTGTTAGCAGTTTGGTAAATATGGACAAATCGGCAATCAAGAAAGTTAATATCTTCCAAAAGTCAGCGAATAACGTACTTATTTTCTCAACAGTCAAGGAGTGGTATAAAATTTACAAACAATTTACTGAAACCCTAACATTAACCAGTATTCTTGTTTGTTTTTATAATAAAAATTGTACATAGAATGTACTACATTCTATGTACAACTGACTAAGGATACTTTATTGTCTTTGTTAATAATTATATAATTATTGAGGGAATGAGTGCGGGAAAATGAGGATTTGTGAGGGAATGAGTGCGGGTGAGGGAAGACTTGTGAGGGAATGGGTGCGGGTGAGGAAAGACTTGTGAGGGAATGAGTGCGGGTGAGGAAAGACTTGTGAGGGACTGGGTGCGGGTGAGGTAAAATTTATTTTCAGGAGGGGCGGGTGAGGGAATAGAAATGTGTTCCCGCGTAGACCTCTAGCAAGAACCCGGGTAGGTGGGAGAGAGGTTGGTATTCATTTGCAACGTCTGTTCAAGAACTAGGTGTCTTTTCGACCAGGCAATGTTGGATGAACGACAGAGACGCAAAAACCTTTGCAACCCATTCATAAGCTGGCAGTATTCACTTCACAAGTTCATAAATAAATAAACGGTTACGACCTGAAAACCTGTCTTACACACATGAAACTTTTTTGCGTGTGGTTAAGTTTTTCAACGGCTGACAGCGTACGTCAAGCCAGCACATTTCGCAACTTACGTTTTTTAGTGTCAACATTGTAATATTAATTTAATTATTAATTATAAATCAGATACTAATTATAATTTTCTCCTGAATTGAATGGAACTAATTTCATTAAAATAGTTTTCAATATCATCATCATCCATCAGCTGCATGCAGCCGCTGATTTCCTCTCGACATCATGCCTGAATTTAAATTACATTTTGTTTAGTTGAAAATTCATTCATTGTCACTCTGATAAATAATCTAATCACTTACGAAACTCACCATTGTCATCGTTCTGATCACCCATCTTTTTAATGTCGATGTTTTTTGTGTTCATTATATAATTTAATAGATTTTACTAGATTATTTATGTTCATTGATCGAACAATTTTTTAATTTTAGTTCGCTTTTTTTAAAATCAGTTGAATCTTTATCCTCCGCTTGGATACTTTTTCATCTATCCATCTACCGTCTATTCACTGATTCATCCATTAATCATTCATTCGTCCATTCGTCCATTTATCCATTTAGTTATCATTTGTTAACTACACATTATATTTAGTCACTTATAAATACATTCAGTCATTTATTATTATTTCATTCATCGATCCAACAATCTATCCATTCAGACATCTGTCCATCTATCTATATATAGATATCTATCTATCTATATATCTTTTATAAGTTTTATTCTACATCCATCTATTTATGCATCTTTTAGTCCATCTATCAGTCTATTCATCCATTCAATAATCTATTACGAAAAAAATGGGATAAAGCTTAATTAACAAACAGAAACTGATGATTTCGTAAATGATGTTCATAATTATGTTACGTTTGGTTCACAAATGTTTTACATACACAAAATTTTGAAAACAATTATTTAAATAAGTTGGAAAACCAGATAGAGAGGAATAATTAATTCCAACATAAGTAGCAGGAACCAGACACAATCCATTTACATAGTTATTATATATGATAATAATAATTCCATTGATAGGTAACAGCGCAAATGCTGGTTTACTGTATTTTAAATATACGTGATATACGTTTATTATTATTATTGTTGTTGTTATTATTGTTGTTTTTGTTATTATTATTATTATTAGTAGTAGTTGTAGTTGAATAATTTTTAGAATTATTTAATAATAAAAATAAAATTTTATTTTATTGTTTTTTTTTATTTGACTTATAAGCGAACGTTTTGTTTCAATGTTTTTCTAATAAGATTAATTAAAATTGAATTCAAAAAATCAAATGGAGGGAAGGAGGCATGAACGGAGGGAAAACGGAGGAATGAAGCGACGAGTTTTTCAAGCAAGAAGATATTGTCATACCTGCCCGTTCGACTGTGGATTCGTTTAATCAAAGTTAAAAATGAAGCAATATAGCTATTAAATTATCGATTTTTTTTATTTATTTACAAATCAATAATTAATGTTAATTATTATTGCAGATAAAAAAAAACTTCACTATCAAATCGACATTTAGAACTCTCGCTTTCCGAATCAAAATTCACTAACCTATATCAATAACAATAATACAATGACATTATCAACGCCTAGCCAATCATCACCATCATCATCATCCTAATTATTTATCAGCCATAGCGGCACATATCGCTTTCGACACTAACACTCACTACTCGATTCTTAACGACGCTTCTCGAACGTACTACATAACTCGATGTCAGAAGGCTGTCAGTTCCTTCTCGAATAAATTTGTGACTGCTATAACGTTAAGTACCTTTTATTTTTCTATTTTTTATTATTCTTATTATTACACCAATCAAAAAACGTCATCATTAAAATTAATATTTAATTTATTAAAATTCTTCTTGCATAAAATGATAAGACACAAATACGAAATAATAAGAATATTAATAATGGTAATAATAACAGCAACAGTAATAATAATGAAAAATTTTACTTATATAGCGACAGAATTTGTTCTTAAAATCTGGTCGGAATATAAATGTATCCAGCATCGCTCCAATCTCCAATTACGATTGGATCGCCTTCCTTTTCAGGGTTTACGTTCACAGGGATTTCGTTGTCCCATGGTTCAAATCCGCCGTCGTCGTTGTCAAAGTAGTCATCCTCCTCTTCCTCTTCTTCATCAACTTCCGGAATGAAACTGTAAAAATCCAAATTTTCGTTAACCTCGTTAGCGATGACGTTCGTACCTTGCAGTGTGCTCTTAATGAAGTCGATTAGTTCATCCCGACTACATGCGACAAATGACTGCAAGATATCTTTATTCAATAAATATCTCAGCCACGCTTTAATTAAAAGCTTCATGATAAATTTGTTTTCTTTATTGTCGTCCAAACTGATCAGACAGTGATAATCTTCAACCTGAAACGTCATTTTAACCTCTCCTCTGTAAACCTCGACATCTAGAACGCCACTTTTGAACTCAGCGCCAGCAGGGTACAGATGTTCATAATGCTTCATGCAAAGTGGACAACGAAGTTCATGTGCACTTTGAAATAATTTCCTCAGACAATGGAGATGGAATTTATGACGGCATAAACGTAGGTAGACCGCATCCGACAATTCTTCTAGAGGATCGCAACAGATGTAACATTCTTCTTTCCATACTTCACGCTCTTCTGCAAAAAATATATGATCAAACAGTAGAAGACTCTCGAAACTGTAAAGTTCTTGAGCTGGAATTCGTATCCTTTTTCTACTCCTAATTATATTTTCGAATTTTGAAAACATTTTTCTTGAATTCATAGTTACTACTTTACAAAAAGCAACTTTTGTAGTTCGAAACACGTGAGGAGCGTTTGTCGGTGATCATCGAACATAGGCTTCCTTTATAGCAGCTGGAATAGCAAAGATATAAGTAACATAAATGTAACAACGATGGCATTGTAAAAGTACGTTCTCGTGAATGTTGTTTAAAATAATTAAAATTGTAAAATTCAAAATACATTACAATTTTAAACTTACAATTACAATTTACAATAATTTTAAACTTCTTCGTGACCATAACCAATTTTATCATAATTAATCTCTCAAAAAAAATTCTTAATTAAATAATTATCAGATTGGTGGGTTTTAGGAGGCGTCCATAATGACTTCAACACAATTTCTTTTTCTTGATCCGTTATTGAATTTCCTACATAATTACCTATATCATGGAGACTGGTTGCAGTTTGAACTGAACCTGAAGGCTGGGGATCATCCAAAACTGCTTCATCTACATTTGCATCTGTTTTCAGTTTCGATTACGTTTTAAATCTAAAATGTTTATTTATGAAAAAATACATTAAATTAATTGTTAAAAAATGTTTAATATAGCGTTAGCGTAAATGTTGTTCATTTTAAAACTAAATATTTGTATTTGTATTAAATTTATTAGCGAAACTAATTAGATAATAAAAGAAAAATGTTTACTACTTCATAACTGAACTAACTAACCTAAATGTTTTCTTTTACAATTTTCTTCCTTTTCATTGCCACAAAAACTAATATTATCGTCAATATTTTTATTATTGTTCTTAACAAATTTCATCAAACTACTTTGCTTAAACATTCTTTTTCTTTAAATTAATTAAAAGTATTTTATAGCTTTAATTTGTTTGAGTACCTTACCTAATATTAAAATGGAAGAAAACCGCGCTTTTTTTAAAAACAAAGTATAAAAAATTATATTTAATAACTTCTTTATAGAATATCTTTGGTATAAAACATCGTCTCGTCCTGTGAAAGTCGTGAGTTCGATTTATAGTTCGAGTAACCTACATATGTTGACGGATTAAACTTTATTAAATATAAATATTTTTAAATCACACACGTAATTTTTGCTTCATTTTTATAATTTTCGTAATTTCGGGGGGGAGGGGGGTTTGAACCCGTAAACTCCCCCCCCAAATACGGCCTTGCTAGTGAATGTTGTTGAAAGTAATTAAAATTGTAAAATTCAAAATACATTATGAGGAGGAAACTTAAAAATATTGATATTAATTAATTAATTAATTAATTAATTAATTAACGTGCATGTTTATAAAAATACTACACCAACAAATCACATCAAAATCATCATTTTACATGCAACACAGCAGAACATAAAAAATGAATCTTTTCTGTAACTTATTTACAACAACAACTTCAACAGCAGCAGTTTTACATCTTCGACGTAGAATTTAATCTTCAAGCCTAAATGCTCTCTTTACTAGCTGACCTTAGCCTGCAGGTTCAAGGTCAAAGATTACGTAAACCGTCACAGATCACGTGGGCAAGGTTATAAATTGCATGGGCAAAGTTATGAAATACGTGGACCAGTTAGACGCCACAGTAGTGATGATGAAAATGAAAGTAGTAGTAGTAGTAGAAACAGTTATGTATTTGGCGACAAATTATCACAAGAAATTTAAGGTGCAGCTGTTGAACCTGATAATTTTGTAAAAATCAACAACAAGAATAATAATAACACAAAAATCAATATTGATGATGATGGCTATCCATCAGACGATTACATGAACAACAATATAAACATAATGCTAACAATGATCTCGCTCCTGATTGGCCGTGCACCAACACTGTCAGCTGGACTGGAGGCGTGGTTTCAGGAAGCTGGTAGCAAATAGGATTCACGGATTTGGATTGGGAAAATCTTTTGTTAAATTATTCTTTCGGCGAGAAATGATGAAAATGAAAGGAAATTTTATTAATTATAAAGATGATGCTGATGATGCAGTCAAGTTATCATTTGCTAATATTTTAAATTGTATTACGAAAAATGTTGATAACGTTGCCGGTATTGATAAAAAACAACGAGTTGTTGTTGTGTTGTCTCCAGAAACGGCGAGGAAGTTGCGTCGCTATTAAGTGACATTCGGCCTTCTGTGAGAATGTAGATGACTTCTTTATCCATAATCTGATGTGCATAGTTTATCACAATGGGGGCATCGATGACCAGTTGGTTTCAATTCTCTTGCAGTTGCTGCATGACGTATAAGTCGACGGCTGTAAGAGGCATTTGTCCATTCCAACATAAAACTTGTGAGACCAGCTTCACAAATCTTCTTCCATGTAGACAGAACTTTCGCTATTTTTTTAAGTCCAGCCGAGTTGATGTTACATTTTTGAGGTACGCTTTTCACTTGATCTACGAATCGCTTCTTTGGCCGACCGGACAGTGATTCAATTTGTTTTCAAAATTGCTTTATTGGTTTATAACTGCGTCAATGGACTAACTCCAAAGTATTTTATGGAAAGAATATTTACAAGAAATATTACGCTATTGAGTTACGCGCTGCGATCTAGTGATTTGGATTTGTTACTGGTTCGTCAAACTTAACTAGTTATCGGTTGCAGAGGTTTTGCAGTCGTGGACCTAAGATCTGGAACAGCTTGCCGCTCGACTTAAGAAACTGCGGACTGTATATTTCCAAGTTTCGAAATGTTAAAATCATAACTTTTTATGAAAACATTTTCAACGACATTCCCTGGCTTGTGTAGAACTTTATTGGCGTATTTGGCGCTTCTGAGAACTAAAAAGGCGTTTTACAAATAATTTAATAATAACAACAACAATAATAATAAAGACATCCATTGTAAATGGTTCAATCCAGTCCCTTATGATTTTCCATCTGTCGAGTGCACCGACATTCATTCCTCCACTTAGACACTTCTCTATCCATTCCTCTTCTCGTCTATTTATCATCCATTTGGGCTGCGCGATGGTGTATTGGTTAAGTGCCTGGCGGTGTTGACGCAGTTCCGAGTTCTAATGTAAAGAGATCCCCACATGTCACACGCACGTATGTTTATACATTGTGTGTTTGGTGTAATGAGCTCTGCCTCTGAAAAACATCTAAGAGAGGATAATAATAATTATAATATAATCATTCATTCATCTATTTATCCATTAACTTATTTATTCAACTATCCAATTATTCACTCGTTTATCACTCAATATAATATTCCATTATAAATATTCAGCCATTCATTAATTCATTCATCGATTCAACAATATACTTATTCTTACATCTGCTCCTCTATCTATTAATATATATCTTTTTATAACTTTATCTCTCCATCCATCCATCTTTTTTTCAGTCCATCTATCAGTCTATTCATCCATTCATTAATTTATTACGAAAAATGCAACAAAGACGAATTAACAAACAGAAGGTGTTGATTTCGTAGATGATGTTCATAATTATTTTATAAGTTACAATTGGTTTAAAAATTTTTTACTTACAATAAATTTCAAAATAATATTATTTAAATAAATCGAAAAACCAGATCGAGGAATAATTAATCCCGAAAACGAATAGAAAACACCATCTAAAACCATCAACCAGCAATAAAGTTTGGTCGTTGCGTCAAATGATTGTGATGATGACGTAGGATATTTTTGGAGTAACGGGCGCACTGAAACAAATTTAATTTGATCATTTTGAAAGTATAAAAACAGAATTTGATAAACAAACGGTTTCTTGATGTTACATTCTAGAAAATTATCCTAACCCAAAATGATCAAAGTTAGTGGAGTCTCGTAATTCTTTAAAAAATATTATCTGTGATGAAATATCCAAACTGAAGCAACAGAAATTACTAACATAGAACAGCATGATTTGTTTGATCTACTGAACTTCATACATCCAGGATGAAGTAACGAATAATGTTGCGTTCACAAATTGTAACAAAACTATACCAAATTAATTGATATCTAAAATCTAATTAATGAGGCCAGAAATTGAAAACAACAGCAACATCGTCTGTGTTGTTTAAAAATATATTTTTATTGAATTTACATACAATAGAATACAATATCGAAAATAACAAAAATTTATTAACAACTTGTTAAAAAGTTATTCACAATAAATAAAAAAAAACAGAAGATAAAAAAAGTAAAAAGAAGAGAAAGAATAAATATTGCATCTTGGGACTACAGCGAAAACATATCGCCATGAAGGCTACTTCGCTTTAAACTGACTGCGCAGCACAAATCGTACATTAACGTATTTCGAGAACAATTAAATCAGGAACTGAACACACATCAAAAACAAATTTAACAAATACTACGTCCTGTAAAACAATTATCTGATGAACAAATAAATAAAAAAATTGTTAAAGTGTGCATTACATGTGGAACAACCGATCATAAGCAAAGTAATCCAATTCACGCGCGCTACCATTTGCTATGTGGTCCGAAGTATAATAACAAATTATGATTAGTTGAAAAAATATAATCCTGTGTGATATAATGATGTAGCCACGTGTTCTAACAAACATGCCATAGAAAAAAATAATTGTAAACTATCATAAATTCAAATGAACAAAAACGCATACACAAAAAAAGAGTACAAACACAAAAACATAGACACAACACATACATACACACACACTCACACACACACATACATGCATACATACATGTATATTCCTTCATCATAAATTCATATAGATTCTTTATTATTAAAAAAATGAAATGGTGAGACAGAAATTGAGAATAGAAGCGCGATAATTATATTATTCAAAAAACACTAAAAACAGATGCTACTTATCAATTTTATCTTAATATATATATATATATATATATATATATATATATATATATATATATATATATATATGTATATATATTTCATTTTCAAAGTTTATTCATAATCAACAACATATCAAATAAGTGAATAAAATTTCTGAAATTGAATATGCGGAAACCGAATAAGACTGTACGTCTTTTGGTGGACACCGCAGTTAGATATTTGAATAGTTAATGAAATGAAATCAGGAAAAAAAACTGAGGCAAAAGATAATTGAAGATAAATAAATAAATGTTTGTGTTATACATATATAAACATATAAATGTTCGTTCAGTACATATATAAAAATATAAATGTTTAACCATTCATAAAAACCATTTATCCACTTCATTTGTTCTCACGTATTCATATTATAGTATTAGGTGGTAGAGTCGAGATCCAGTGTCAATAAAAAAACACAGAATTTTGACTTGAAATGTTGTAGGTTTATTATGGCTCATGAATAGGGAGTTACAAGTCATGTCCAAATTTTAGAACCAGCTATTTTTATGCTTGTCTGGATTAGTATGAGGCGGGTTTTGTAGATATAAAAGAGAGGGGTGTGTGTGTTTAGCGGTTGTAGATTGGGCGGAGTTGCTTAATGTTTAGAAGTTAATAAAGTGAGGTGAGAGAAGATTGTTGATAAATTTAAAAAAATAAAACAGAGCAGTAAAGGTAGATGAAGTGGTAATTTTTTTTTATAAGAAGAAATGTTTAGTATGAGAATAAGGTTTGAGGTTAAAAATTAAACGTATTGAACTTTTTTGAGAGACTATTGAATTATTCAGATGGCTTTATGGACTATTTCCTCATAGCGTGATGCAATAGGTTAGATGAGGGTAAATGAATAATAAAGCGTGTGTAGAGCAGACAGAGTTTATATTTGATTTTGTAGAAGATGCCAATGAGTTTGTTGATTTTGTCTGAGGTAGTTTGAGATTTTCTGTGATGGTGATTCCAAGAAATTTGGTTGACAGGGTGCGGTTTATAGGAACGTCATTAATTAATAGGTTTAGGTTAGAAGCTTGGTTGGTGAGTATTTTTGGACCAAAAATAATGTATGCATATTTCGAAAAATATATTAGTTTGTTGTTGGATAATCAATTAGAGAATTTTTGGAGTTCGAGTTTGATAAGTTCAGGGCAGTCTGGTAGGTTGTTAGTGAAAAAAAGGTTAGTATCGTCTGCGAACAGTACGTATTTGGTTGAAGGCGAAACATTGCAGAGGTCATTCATGTAGATAGAAAATAGAAGGCGTCTAAGTATGGATTTTTGAGATACGCCGCAATGAATGGGAGCACGCTTTGATTGGATGTTGTCCATGGAAACATATTCTCATCCAGTTGTGAGCTGTGCCTCTTACTCCGTAATGATTTAGCTTGGATAGGAGTATTTTGTGATCGATGACCAGAGGTGGACATGGGTTGGGTTAACCCATGGGTTGGGTTGGGTCCAAATTTTTTAAAGTTGTGTGGGTTGGGTTGAAATTTTCAAATTTTATTATAAATAATTTATTTCTGTATTTTTTTTTATTCTTAAACGAACATTTTAACTAGTTAATAATCGGTGTATTTTATATCGCTGTAATATCATTGTATCTTTGGTCTATCGTTTCCACTTTCTTTTTGTGATTATTGAGTTGAGCAAAAGTTAACTTCTTTCCGATCGAGAAAATTAGTTTTATTTACAAGTATGGCAGAATCAGAAGAAATTCAGCGTCATTTGAGAGGTTTGTGTGATTTAAATTTGCTAAGTTTGCGAAAGTAAAAAATCTAATAAATTTTACATTAACATTTTTTATGTTTTAATTCCTTTTTTAAAGATTTAATTGTTATTTTTCATAATTTCAAATCTCTTCAGTCTTTACAGTTACACTTTACAGACATCAGAATTTTTTCTCAATTGCTCATTTTACTTATTTACCTGATATTCATGTTTCATTTTCTTTCTTTTTTCTACCTAGAAATGGTTTATTTTTCAAATTTTAGTTGGGCGCTGTTGAAGTTTAGAAATCCCATTCATTAGATAAATTTAATTGATTGATTGAACATACTCAAGTATTTAAATATTTATTCTTTCCAGAAAAAACAGGGTGGTATT